AGACAGCAAGAAGCACCGCCACAATCACCGTCAGAATGTGCCCATCCCCATGTCCAGCAAGTGCCAGCAGGCAGTCTCGCATATACTGGTCATATTCGCCTTCCAGTTCGATTGTGGCAGGGGTTAGGAAGCGACGGAGTATTCTCACTAGCGCATCTGTTAGCTGTGTCTTCTGTTCATGACCCATGCGTCGGAGTGGGATACCCGGTTGCAGTATGCCCATAGTTAAAGGCAACCGGGCAGCATTGGCTTGGGCAAAGACTTGCAACTCATATCTGCTCCGAGTATCTCCGAGGAAGAAGAGTTGCTCTAGCAAGAGACTCGTAACCATGTGGTACTCAATCGGCGCAGGCCAATCCTCCCTGGGATCAAAATACTCGAGGCCACTTGCATGTTGTTGCAGTAATCGCCCACAAAATTCGCGAGCAACTGGGCCTGAGACCAGGATTAGCTCCAGATGTTTCGGGGCTATTCTCCGATAGGCTCGGTAGGCCGCCGCCCTGCTGGTGCCCTGCATAACTTTTTCTTGTACAATGAATACAGCACATCTGCGCAGCCCATTGTGCAGCTGGAATGTGCACAGGAGTGCTCGCCCTGCCATAACGTTGGACTCCATGCTTCCCAATGCACCGGCCTCACATAGGGCCCATGGATCTGCCCGGGGAATCGCAGTCGGGTCACTAAATAGCAAGATTGGTGCACCCTCGGTCACCAGCTGTATGACATGGAACTGTGCATAGGCTTCATACCTATATTTCACCACACACCAGGTGCCCTGTAGGCCTCGGTCATGTTGTTGCGACAACTCCACACTGACCCATGATTGAAGATGCTGCAGTCTCCTCCCAGAGTGATAGGCATCCAACTGGGGCAGGACCATATCCAGTAAGAAGATCAGAGTGCGGAGGGAAAAGCCTTTAAGGAACTCAACCAGTAGGCTCTGAATGAGGTGTCCACCCTCGGAACTGGCATGCCCAGGGACAGGGACCATTGCAATCAGGGCTGCCTGCAGAGCTGTTTCGGATTCAATAGGGTCATCGCGCACGTCTCTCCCTTCGATAGGAACGGTATGCAAGCTGAGACACCCCTGGCCGGCTGCTTGCAACAGCGCACTAAGTGTGTTTTTGCAGCTGACAGGGAGGTCAAAACTGACCCAAGATAATATCCGTAGGAGACCTTCGCTCCGCACCGCATGTGGAAGCACTTCAGGGTGTGTCACCTGGAGTTGTTCTATTTGATAAGTACCATCCTCTATGTTGGCGAAGAGGAGGTGGCCATATGCATGTCTGGATCTCCCGGCCCATGTGGGGATGCCCTCAATCAGGATAACACTGTAGCTGAGCTCGTCAAGCGAGTCTGGCCGCCAAACGCAGAGCTTGTCCTCCGCACAATGGATCAGGGTTACTTTGCGCTCTCCTGTGGCTAGCCTTAGCATTGCTGGTGGAGCAGCCACAGCAGCTACCTTCGTGCTCCCAGGGAAGGACCGAAACTCATTCAGGATCTCATGCACAGCTAACCCTGTATAGGAGCCAGCAGAGAAACCCAATATGTCCACCGGTCGGCAGCCCTCCACCATAGGTACTGTAACCAAGTGTGGAAAGCTTGATCTGAGCAGTAGCAGTTTCCCTTGAGGGTGGTAGCATCGCATGATTTGGCGGACAGCAGTCGTCCAAGTGGGATGAGGGGGCCTGCTGTGGGCTGGGCGTATGTCTGCAGCAGTCACTAGCCGTATAGCCCGTGACAGGAGCAATTTGTGATCAGCAAATCGTTCCGAAATAAAGATTTGCCACGCTTTCCACCCGAGTGCTGTTGCCAATAGTTGATAGACTGCATATTCATGGACGGACTTAGTCAGGCCTAGTTGGGTGACTCTGTGTTCCCAGTCGTCCATCATGGCAAGAGAGGGACCATACACTTTCATTTGCACATGATTTTGAAAAAAGATATCATACTCGTGATCAGGACTGAGGAGCCCCCCTCCAAGCCCGCTACAGTGCACTATGACAGGGCGGTCCGGCATGGCTTCATCTTCCTGCCACACGTCAGGTAGCGAGAAAACCCAGTTTGCCCAACGTTGCGGTCGGTCCTTGAGGTTGGGTGCTTCACGGGCAGTCTGCCCAGTAAAAATGCCTTGGGAGTATTGGACGACATCAACCATCTGCCCCTGGACATTCAGCTCCCAAGCTTCGCCTTCGCAGAACACAGCGGGAAGGCCAAAGGAGAGGTCTGCTGCTTGGGAAAGGGCCAGACACTTACTGTCACTGACATTGCTACGCTCCCACAGGCCAAGGAGGGAGACCATTTGCCGCTTGGTGATGGGCGGGGGTGTAACTTTCGCATGGACCCGCAGGCCAATAACAGGGAGAAAATTAGGGTGAAGCCACTGTGGTTTCCATTCAGGAGTGCCAAACAGAGCAGCTGCAAGCGGAAGCCAGCCTCTTTGCGCTAGTTCCGTTAGGCGCCCCGGCAGTCGCTGCTTTGCACTGGTGCCAAAACCATGAAGTATGACCGGGCGCATGTAGCCTGGTTCAATTTCCATTGCTTGGTACATCTTGTCCCCAGGAAGTACTCGTATGGAAACTTCCCCGGGCAGCAAGCTCAAGGTCGGCAGAGCTCCTTGTTCATAGGCGGGCCGTGCCCACTTGTGAAAGTTGGGTTGCCTATCCACGAACCCACTTAGGATGCCTCTCAAGTGACCATGCCGTGGCCACACTCCTGACTGCGGCACCGGAAATGTGACCAGGCCAGACCACTGGCCAAGCAAGCTCCATGCATGGCACCAATCGACGGTTACCCTGGTCGCAGTGCCAAGCAGCGGGGTACCTACCAGACCACTGGCAACAGCTAGCTCTGTGTCCTGAGGAGGTTTGGTGGTAGCTAAGTAGCCTTCTACATGTTCCATATAAGAGATCACGATGCGGGCAGCAAGCTCGTCAGGGTCACGGTCAGGGTCTCGCAGCTCCATTTCCGTAACTGGAGCTGGGTGACCGGATGCCAGTACAATCACCAGTCCTGCATTGATTTCAGTGAAAGCTTCACTGACGAGGATAACCCCTTTAGTCTTAGGAGGCTGTGCTTGCGCCTCAGGGTGTCCACTCGGCGCCACTGCACTTTGGGGACCACTCGCAATGGAGGGTTCCAGCCCACGGTCTGTTTTTCTAGATGGTGAAGATGGGCTCGCGCTCTCTGATCCACCAAAATCGACCTCTTCTTCCAATGGGGTTGCTGCTGGTGGTGATGAGTCTCTCGTTCGAGTAGGCAGGAGACTCTCAACACTTTTGGACTTGGATAATTTAATAGGCGGCCCCGATGGCTGATCAGCTTTACCTGCATCCACAGAACGCGATCGCTTATGGGCAGGTGCTATTGGGCTACTCGGTATCTGCTCCATATGTCTACCGTCGTCAGCCGTATGCTCATGGTGGCTACTGGAGTGCCACAGCTCCTGTATTTCAAATAGCGTGACAGGCACGCAGTCGGAATCAATGAGCGCAAAGTTGGTAGACGGGAAGAGGTAGACGCACGCGTTCAGTATGTAGGTTCCAGCCCAAGTGGGGTGTACCTTATCCAGGCCAGTGTCTGCAGCAATTGGCACAAAGACAACATTGGTACGTTCGCCATATGGGCCTACATATTGTATGCGCTCTCTCCACCAGGCTGCAACGGTGGGCCAGTGCGCAAGCCCTGGAACATCGCGGACTGAGTTGGAGACAAGATCCCGATTGTCGGTGACAACGTAGACAGTTTCAAATGGGCAGAATTCGTCGGATTGACTAACAAGCCACCGATAAAGACTGTGCCACCGCGGACCAGGTACCACCTCTAGCCCATTGGCAGTCAAGATTTCATAATCATGTCGATCTACCTTCCCTTTCTTTTTATGCGGATCCCCGATGCGCCATCCTTGATGGACCGAGACATTCAATCCACACTCTGTGGAGATGTCTTTGTAGCATTCGAAGGCTTGAAGTAGATCTTTGAACTGCACGTCTGGGTCAGCAGTATACCAGTTGTGTACCGCTTCATCTCTGGTACGAAGCGACATGTGATTAGCTAGTGACACTCCCGACCAATCTGCGGTAAGAAGTGTCACGTAGCTCTGCTGAGGGCACCTGACCTCACAGGTACTGATGCTACAACAGGGAGATGGGTACAAAAAGGGTAAAGGGGGGGAAAGTGCTGGCAATCCTGACCAATCTGCGGCCGGAACAGCCAGGCACTCGCAACAAGAAACAAAGTCGTTAACAATGGGGGAGGAAGGGTGTATCGGCAGTCCCGACCAATCTGCGGCCAGAAAAGACGAGTACAACCGAGTTGGGGACCAAATCAAACAGGGGGATAATACGAGAACTTGACAAGCCTGACCAATCTGCGGCCGGACGAGTCAAGGATAAACAAGAAATGATACTGAGGTTCGAGACCAGCCAGCAGTCAGAGAAAGCAGACACAAACCACTAAATCAGATGGAAGAAACAAAGATGTAAAAGAATGAGGGGCAAGGCCGTAGTTAAGTTACCGATGCACAAACGACAGGGAGAGCCAAGTCACCGAGAAACAATGGCCTAACTAGCTGGTTTCTAAGGATAGGTCTTTGCCTGTCGCATCTATGACAGTTGAGCCGAAAGATGCACATTGTTGGGCAGTGGGTTCAACACAGAAAGGGCCGATTGCAGTGCCTATCAAGACTCACTAGCCTGAGACCTACCAAGGTAGATGCACAGCAGCCTGCAGGGTGCGCAGCACACTCGACTTTTTAGCATGGCCTGATCCCACTGGCGTGGTCAGTCATATTGATAGAGCCATCCCCTCAGCGTGTTGCGATCTGCTGTTGGTTGCTTTACAAACGGAGACCGCGGGGGAAGACACAAACCTGCCATGATTTTCCTCCAATACAGCGACTCATGGCCGCATTGCGGTTTATACAGGCCAGTACGCCGCTTATATTCTTCAATCACACGAAGCAGGCTATTGGTGGCCCTCTCAGATAATACTGTGAGCACCGGCGGTACCGATTGCTTAGGCCAATGACCGCCATGGTCTTCGTGGACTAACGAGCTCAAGCAGTTATATTCTGAGGTCTGTGCTGCCGCTATACGTGCCGCATTCACATACTCTCTGCATGCAAAGTCCCATCTGTTCCACTGCCTGTCCTGGATGGCTCCAAGGGAGGTTTCTTGCCATGGATCGGCTCGTGCTCACAGGAGCAGGGCGATGATTTTTAAGTCCTGGTACAGTACCGCCGTGATAAGCGGTGGGTGGCACTCTAGATTCTTTGCATGCAGCATCTGCTGCCGCCTCGAGCAAAAGGCTGACAAGGCTGACGTTTCTCAGGTTATGGCACCGGTGACCCTGGCGCCCCAAACAGACCCTGATCAACACCGGCATCGCATAGCGCCACGTGTAACAAACATATATAAAATCGTAAAACATGTGAACCCATCAAATAATTTATTTGCCAATTTTCGAGCGACATGTTCAAACTGAATGTGCAGCTGATATGAAAGACCGGGCACACATTTTTCCGTCTTGCGCAGAAAGGGGGAAGATCTCTGGTTCAGCATGGTGTGGTTGTTGCTGCATTGCAACATCATTGAATTGCATTCATTCACAAACGAAAAATTCACTGCATTGTGTTTCGTTATCTCAAAGATCCCAGGGTGGGAACGAGTGCATGGAACGAGTGGGGTGGGAAATGAAAACAACATGGCAAAAAGTGAGCGATGAGCCCACCCACCCACCGCTTAGTTCTTGATATGTAAAATTCCAACATGCAAGGCTCAACATGTAAACATGACAGATGTGGCATGGACATACAAACATAAATAAACATGTGATGACATCGGAGTTGTTTTCCCAGATTTGGTTCTGCACAGAACTGCGTAAAGGAAACAACAAACATAGAGTCCATAAACGGAAATTCACACGCGGTCGCGATGCGTCACGCAGAGGAAAGGAGACAGAAGCAAAGAGGAGACGCACATACCTACCTCACCTAAACCTAGCAAGCGTGCAAGGAGAAGCATCACATTTCTAACTTTGTTTTTGGGCAGCCAGGGGAAACGGCCTAGTTTCACTCACCTAACCCATAAACGGCTATTGGCAAGCCAACGGCCACATTATGGCACCGGTGACCCTGGCGCCCCAAACAGACCTTGATCAACACCGGCATCGCATAGCGCCACGTGTAACAAACATATATAAAATCGTAAAACATGTGAACCCATCAAATAATTTATTTGCAAATTTTCGAGCGACATGTTCAAACTGAATGTGCAGCTGATATGAAAGACCGGGCACACATTTTTCCGTCTTGCGCAGAAAGGGGGAAGATCTCTGGTTCAGCATGGTGTGGTTGTTGCTGCATTGCAACATCATTGAATTGCATTCATTCACAAACGAAAAATTCACTGCATTGTGTTTCGTTATCTCAAAGATCCCCTTTCCGCTTCAGCACAGCATTTCAAGTTTCGTGTGTGCCAACGGACATGTCGGCTGGGCTTGTGTCATGGCGCCCAGAAAGTCAAGTTCAGCTACTGTGCCTCTGCTCGGAAAATCTGCAGGGTTGGACTGAGAAGGAACTCGAGTCACCCAAAGGTTCTGAAATAATTCATCATCCATCTCTTCCAAAACCAGCAAAAGGTCGCGCCATGCCTTGACGTTTGCAGTACCTTTGACCAAACAGTCTTGCGCACCGTAGTTGTCTACGAACATGATGATCCTCTCAGATTTGAAAAGGTTCTTCCAATGTCTCAGTGCCACAACGCAAGCATAGAGCTCCACAAGGCCTATAACATGTTCGCGGCCATCCGTTTTCCAAGAAGCAAGGGTGTCATCGGGGACCTTGCATCCAAAGTACCATATGCCTCCTCCCGGATTAATCAAAACAGCTCCAATGCTTGCCTCAGCTCCACCGCAATCATCATACTCCAGCGCGCCATCAGTAAATAAAATCCAAGGCATGGCCTGAGGTCTTGCCGTCAATTTCTTGGGTTTGCCTGAAATCACTCTGCGTCTCAACAGCTTCAGTGCACACAGCTGACTATCGTTAAGGTCGACTGCCAAGTTCCCACTCGTACCCAAAGTTCGCAGATCGCACATGGCCAATTTCCCGGCCCTTCCAGCTACCTGCATGTCTGCAAATTGTAAACGACCCAAGTGTGACGGCAAATCCTTTGGCCTCAACTTCTTGGTTTCGAGGATCTCATTCAAAGTGGCTTCAATGTCAACGATGCGATCTTGCTTGTTTCGCACGCACACACTTCCAGCTTTGCTTTGTTTCAAATCCAGTTCCACGCCCAAAATCTCAGCAGTGTTCGCTGGAAGGTTCAGCTTGTCTTCCGCAAACTGGAATCCAAGCAAGTTCATCATAGCTTTTGCTGCTCCCAGCGATGACTGCTCCAAGCCAGACGGGCAAAGAATGGGATAGTCGTCGTAATAGCACGACCACAACAATCCCAATTTGCATCCCAGAGCCCACAAGAGCCAGCTGATTCGATTGAAATGTAAGACAGAGGCCGAAGACCCAAACGGCAGAGTACGCATCAAAAAGTGTTTCACTTGTGAGTCTGCAGGGTCCGCAATTGTCACCACCGTCTTGTTGGCATCGCTCTGGTGCAGAGGTAGTTGCTTGTAGGCACTCTTCAAATCGAGTGCAGTGGCACTCATCTCGCAATTGCCAATCCAGTCTTCGTGGACAGGGCCCACAAGTTCTTCACCACTTCTCAAGACAAAGCGCATCTCGTGTGCATGGAGGCAATGTTTGAAAACAATCAAAGCTGCCCACACGATGTGGTCCATCGTCTTCAGAGTGATCTTGTCTACTGTGGTGAAGGTGGAGTTCAAACGGTTTTCACAGAAATCGTCTATCGGACGAAGCTTTCCTTTCTGCTCAACACAAAAACGTCTAACCGGCAACCATCGCTGGCCAATCTCTTGAGTCACTTCTTCAAACGTAAGGGGGCCTTTTAACCATTGTTTTTCTGTCGCTTCACGAAGCGTGATGTCATACAGCTCTGCAGCAAACTTGTTCTCGCTGTAGTTCTTTGCTTTGCCAATGATCGCCGGTCTCAAAAATTTGCTCTGCTGCATGAGCTCGCTTTCAGTCATTGTTGCAGGCTTCGGTTGTTGTCTAAAAACTCCAGTAGCGGGTGCTTCACCAGTGATGCGGAAACCTTGGCAAAGTTCTCCATACAGCCTCTTGTCTGGCCAGTCAAGTTCCTCCGTGGCCAGTTTTTCCAGAAGTGCTGGCCGTTTGTTATGGAGCACTTGGCGTACATGTTCTGGCATTGCAGTCCTTAAGGCTTCTTCTTCCGGCTTCAAGTCACAAGCCCAGCGTCGCCACTTCTGCAAGGTCTCTAAACGGTGCCTTGACGTCGCAAGCCTGCTGTTGCTCAACAAGTCAAAAATTGAGCGGACCATCAAATCGGGTATGTGTCTCAGCTCATCAAATGGGTGCCACAAAGACCTTGCTATTGTTGTAAACTTCTCGAACCCATGAAAAATTCCAAAAACATGCATTGTAAATTGCTTCATTCCGCTTCCCCCTTTTGCTTCAGACCGTAACAGCTTACTCCCTGCCGGGATATTCGGCAGATCCTTGGTTAATTTGTGCTTGCTGTCGAGTGGAGGTTCGGTGTCAAGCAGAATAGACACCACTCGATCGTATTCAGGGATGAGCGGAGGTACAGCCCTGCCAGGTTGTTGTTTTTGAGGATGCAGCTTATCATCCGCCTTTGGATAAGTCCCAACATCCATGCTGAGCTCCTTTGCCATGTCCAAAAGTGTTCTTGCATATTCTTCGCATAGTTGCTTGGGGTACTCGGCTTCCAGTGCAGTCGAGAATTGCTGTTTCTCTGTGTCAAAACCCCATCCCAAGTGCTCGTGCGAGCCATCGCATTGCCGACAGAAACATAAAAAGGCCGCATTGTTTGTCAGGAAACTGGTCGACTTGTACCTGGCTCCACCATATGCACATGAATGGAAAGTTGTGAAATAGGAGGCATTGACAAGTCGTTGCATGCACGGGAGCTCCCACAGCCAGCTGTTTGTTGGGTTCTCTATGGTCCACGGCACCTGCATTGAATTGAGGAAAAAACAGAAATCGCACATGTACATGTACAAAGCATTGGCCAGTTCCACACGCAGTCTGTCTCTAGCCGACATATTCGGTACTCCATAGGGGTGGAGCGCATCCCTTAGTGGCTGTGGTCCATGCCATTGATTTGATAGCCTGATTTCTCTGGCTCTTGAGCAAGTTCCGCATGGTGGTGCTATATGTACCGCTATCACGTTGCAGTTCCCGATGATGTGCCTCAAAGTTGCCCAACTGCTCTCCTTCGTCAAATCAAGGCTAAAAGTTCGTATCTTCGTCCTGTGTTTATTGTGTTCATGATCCACAGCCATTGCGTTGAACCCAGCAGCTGTCACAGAAGCTGACAGGATACCACAACCTGAGCAAAGTTCAATGAAGAGGGGTGCTTGCGTGTGTCCCAGCTCATTCACCATGTTTTGCAAACCACACTGCTGAGGAGTTTCTGAATTGTTTTGCACTGCATCGTGATCTTCACCACGGTCAAGCGGCCGGTCCAAACGACGATCGGCGCAGCCATCTGAAAATTGGTCAAAATCTTGTTTGTCAGGTCCATTGCACTGACTCGGAAAATCATGTTGCCCATCCTCTGCACGAAACGTTCAGTCCTTTTTCTTGGCTGGACAATCCAGCGCCGGGTGCTGTTTGTAGCAACCTCGAATGGCACACAAATGCAAGCCCTTCTCACATCTCTGATTCTGCACCTGAGATGAGCATTTCTTGAGGTTATACGAAAAACACAGTCTGTGGCCTTGTGGTGTTGCGCCTGTGCACCCAAGGTTGAGCAACTCAAACGGAATCCTCATATTTTGTCCACCTGTATTTTTGCCTTTCGACTTTCCCTTTCCTTTTCCGCTGGGAGAACTAGGAGGCCTTTCGGTTTTGGGCCGTTTCAAAGGTGGTTCATCATCCCTTGTTTTGGCTGCATAAGGTTTGGGCTGCAGCAAGGTTTTGACTTCCGTGCTGTTCATGCATTCCTCAAAACATTGGTCACATGGCCGACCATTCGGACCTGATTTCAGTCCTGCACGTGTCTTCTCGGCCAGGAGCATGAAAAGTCGCTTGTCCGCTGCCTCAATCTGCTGAAAGGTTGTGCGGCTGTAACCTGCAGGAACAGTTTCAAGTCTGCAAGCAAGAATTGTTTCAAGCCACTTGTCATGGTAATGGTATGCCAAGATGTTTGACTGCTCCATTGCCAGACCTCTACGCATGAGGCAATATCTCAAAAGAATCTCTGAGGACGTGTCACAAGGTTCCACCTTGTTGGATGCTGCCAGTTTGAGCTCTCCAGAGCTTTGCACAACCAATCGTTGATCCCTTTTCGAATTGCCAAGCAGTTCATGTTCACGTGACACACACATGTCCCATGGCACCCATTGCAATCTGTCGTTTTCATAAAAACTCACAAATCTGTCAACCAAGCTGTCACCAGGTTCGTAAGGTCCTCTGATTGCGATGCCTTTCAGCCGAGCCTGTTGTTCCTCGAGCCTTGCCGCCCTATCGGCGGGAGCCAGCTTACGATGCACATCTTCACTGGTCTGTTCTGTCTGTGCTCTGATGTCGGCTGCCACTGTTGCGTATGATTCATTGTAAAGCCTCCTAAGACATGACTCTTCAACTAAGGTCGGTTCACGGCTGAGCACCTTGGTAAGCAGTTCTCTGAAAGGCTTGTCGTCACTGGCTCCTGGTGAGTAGTTGCAACCAAACGCAAACTTGGCCATGGTGTCCAACGACTTGTCCCTGAAACATGTGACAACATCTTCAGAAAGGCCTATGGCTTTGGCCCTCTGTTCAAACACTGCTTTGCTGTCACCGAAGCTCATTGTCCCTTGAGGAGAAAAACTTGCAGAATGGAAATTATCATGTTGCATGCTGCATGGCATTGTGGACACGTCGCATGTGGCCCTTGTGTCGCTGCATTGCGACTGCATTCATGTAACATCCATTGGAGTGCATCACAACCTGGATTTACAGCCCTTTGCATGAGCTGGCACAAACGTCGGCATGGACGCTCATGTTTTCACACTCCAGCTGCATAGCTGAGGCTCTGCACACCATCGCTTGCTATCGATTTCGGAAGCAAGCAGTGCATGAAGGGTACAAAAATTTTGGTACCCCCTCACATTGATCATATTGACCCGAAACCATGCGTCCACACCGGAACAACAACCCAGTTTCATCGGCAGTCTTGTGCAAGCAACGCGAAATCTTGTGCCTGAAAAAGAGGGCATCCTCTGAACTCATATCGCCACCCCAAGTGCCAGCCACCTCTTCCACCGCCTGCTCATCAGCAGAGTGACTGAAGACCTCCTCGTCCATTGAGTCGCATGACGATGAGGTGGATTCAACGTCTTTGCCATCATATGAGGTAGGGTTTCCAGCTGGAAAGTAGCCGCTTCGGGAAGCGTCCGGCACAAAATTGTCTGCATTGATTTGCTGAATCATCTCTTCCATCAACCTGATGGGCCACGACATAGCATCCCTGCTGTAAGTCAGCATGCTCTTGTCTTTGCCCGCTGAATGGTATCCCAGCAAGCGACGTGCAGACGGCTCCATGCCATACTTTGCGCACATCGACAAAACCGCCGACTTGCATGAGTGTGTAGCTATTCTGACTGCTGTCGTCTTTGCAGGGACGTCCTTCAACAAAGCTCGGAGCCAATCACCTGCCACCTCACAGGAGACTGGGATCTTCGTCCATCCTCCGCCCGCTGCAGGCGTCGGCAACATAGGCTTCCCTGAGCCCGGCACGAGCCCTTGCTGCTCCCTGCACCTGATCCATTGCTCAATCCATCCTTCCTCGGTGAAGCTCAAGGTGGGCACCACCACCGGTAAAAGCCTCGTCCTCTTCTCCAGGGATGTGGAGGTTTTGCACCTCTCAGCCGCACATTCAAGGTATCCTCTGTCGGCACCCGTCGGTATCTCGAGCTCCATGGAGGTGATGGATTGCCCATCTGAAAAACGCAAGCGACCATAGACCAAAAGTAAAAAGAAACCAGAGGCTATGCGGTCATACATCGTCCGCCCCTCGTCCTTGACACAGTTTTCAAGGCTTTTAATTTGGTCCACAGTCAGCGCTGGCCTTTGCACCAGCTTGCGCTTCTTTGCGAAATGGATAGCCGCATGTCCTTTGATGCGACTGGAATCCAAAACTTCGTCAGCATGCAGAAGCCCCAAAACATGCTTTGCAAATGCCACTGACGTGATAAAAGACCTTGGAAAAGTCGGTGCAGTGTCCGTCTCTTTCAGAAATGCATAAGCAATGCTCTCTTTCATGGGAAAAGGCGGCACATCGTTCTTCTTGGCAAATTGAACATATCTCAGTAAAGGATTTGCACGACCATGCAAAGTGCTGGTGGCCTTGACTCCAAGTGCATCTCGAATCGACTCCACCAGGCCATGCTGCAAAAGTTCGAAAAGACCATCACCTTTCCTGGGCCTGGAAATGACCCAAGACCCAGGTTCTTCCATGATCAAAGACGTCCATTTCTTGTATGCAGCTTTGCGGTCAAAACTGATCTGTTGTTGCCAAAAGTTTTCATCCGTCTTTCTCATCAATCTGAGCCCAGCATCTGCATAGCTACTGCGCTTCTGGTCAAAAAGGTCACCCGGGTCAGCTTGTGGTGACATGCAGCACGGTCCCATGTTTCCAAGCAGTTTTGTCCGTTTGTGGAAAGGTTCAAGTGCATCTTTGTTCAACATAGGCAAAGTGAGTTCCCATGGAAGCTTCATGCCAGAAGAATGCATTGCTGTCCAGACATGCCTGGTATGGAAAACTACATGTTCATCGCTCACATCTGTTGTCCTCTTGTTGGCCCCGTTCTGCTTCAGGTTCTTGGAGGATGCCATGCCGAGGAGGTCCCAGCAGCGCCTGCAATTGCTCCAGCACCTGTGCAAGTTGAGACCTGACTGTCTGCAATTCTGACTGAATCTCAGTTACCTGCCGTCTCAGTGCAAGTTGGTGTGACACAACGTTGTGTAAGATTGCTTCGTGGGTCGTTTCGGAAGACTCACTCATCCATGTAGGGTGACAAAATCCACCAAACAAATGCAACGGCAGTCACAAACCCGAAGGAGAAAAACTGAAATCTTGAGAATTGCAATGATTTGGATCTTGTTCCAAAAGTCAGGGGTGTGGCGTATCCAATATGGCCACGATGCTGCAAGGAACCACGTTGACGCATCAAAATGAAAACAGCATGGCAAAAAGTGAGCGATGAGCCCACCCACCCACCGCTTAGTTCTTGATATGTAAAATTCCAACATGCAAGGCTCAACATGTAAACATGACAGATGTGGCATGGACATACAAACATAAATAAACATGTGATGACATCGGAGTTGTTTTCCCAGATTTGGTTCTGCACAGAACTGCGTAAAGGAAACAACAAACATAGAGTCCATAAACGGAAATTCACACGCGGTCGCGATGCGTCACGCAGAGGAAAGGAGACAGAAGCAAAGAGGAGACGCACATACCTACCTCACCTAAACCTAGCAAGCGTGCAAGGAGAAGCATCACATTTCTAACTTTGTTTTTGGGCAGCCAGGGGAAACGGCCTAGTTTCACTCACCTAACCCATAAACGGCTATTGGCAAGCCAACGGCCACAGCCACAGCCAAGCTCAACATAGTAGTGGGTACCTGCTGTGGAGGGATGACATTGGGATCAATCTTAGCTGCTAGCATTAAGCAAGTAAGAGGGGCTGTAGGGTGAGGATATTGTTGGACTGCGTTCCCTACAGCAGGGACGTATTGCGTCGGCTTATTATCCTGTAACATTGCAACTGTAAGCAACGCACAATTGAACCCTCCCACCATGAAGAAACAGCTAAAGTCTAGTCCTTCCTCCACAATATGTACCACTTGCTCTATGTTCTTATGGCAGAGTGCCGCTGTGAGAGCGTGGTACTGCGGCCCGGTTGGTCGTTGCAAAGCCTTGAACAGGACTGCCACTCCCTTCTCACCGCCAACCTCGCCCAAATCAATCAGGCGGAGAAGCGACTGGGGCTGGTCAGAGCCGTCTTCCAGTACCGAAACCTGAAATGGAGTGGGCAGCTGCTTATTGGAGGCCACTCTGACCATGACGTCCCATACCGATAAGGAGAAGGCTGATTCTAGTTGCATGATCGCCTCACCTGTAATACCATGGCGAATGGCGATTGACATGGGGATGGCAAAGTATACAACGCTGCGAACTAGGCAGGCGATCCCGACCAATCTGCGGCCAGAAAACACCTGCCTTTGGGATATGATGATCGATCCGTGGTGAAACTAAAAATTTGAGCCAGCAAAACTGTCCTCCAAATACCTGGCAAAATGACCCTAGCAGGATAGTGACACATTGCAGAAAAGTAGCTTAACAACAACAAATGCAGCATGAGTACTGTGCATGGTAAGAGCAATCTAGGCCTGCCTAGCTTTTGCAGTGACCGCTCAAGGAAGAATGTGCTCAGCTGCAGACTTCGCTGCATCACAGCACTTCCTAGATGAATTAACGGCAGATCTACCTCTCACTGGTTGTTGCCTGCTCCTGTGCTGTCAGACTGCTCCTTGGCGAGTGCCGGCTGCCCAGGTGTGAGCAAAGTGGCATTTGCCCCTTCTGCTTGCGCTTGGAGCTGTTCCAGGTTCTCCACAACTTGGGCAAACTGGACGGATACTTCTGCTATAATGCTCACAAGTTTTCTTGCATAGGCTAGTTGGTTAGAGCTATTTGCAGCACTTTCCGTATCCGATCCTAGTGCTGGCACTTGTCCTATACACCATTCTGCATGGGGGCCTGAGCTATCCAATCTTCTTTGCGTTTGTTCATGGCGATCGGCACTGTCTTTGAACACACTATCAAGTACCTGCATGTCTTGTGCCGTATACATTCCTGTGGGGTCCGAGCGTTGGACACCCTTGGCCACAGGAGGCTCAACATGCTTCCGTTTGGCTTGGTTCACTCCCACTGGAGGCACTGGATATTTCGGGCCGTACTTGCCTTCAAAGCCGGTGTAGAACGTTTCGTGAGAGGCATTACCCCGTCGAGTGTCGTCACTCAGGGCAATGAATCTGTCCTTCTTTCGACCTCCTTCCACTTCATACTCTGCATACACCCAGCATATTGTGCGATTAGCAAGGATATGGTGCTCATGCATCTTGTTGGAATAGAAATGATTCAGCTTTTCATTGGTCGGATGCTGGGAGACGATTGCAAACCTTCTGGGGCTCACCCAGATCCACAGGTCCTGCTGAAAGGACTCAGTCACATAAAAGGGCCAAATCTGTCGCCCTCCCATTTCGGTGAAGCTGTAGTTTGTATACACATCATCACTGTTCTGGGAGTCCAAATGGCAAAAGTCATGAGTCAGTGACTTTGAGTTGGATCCTGGGAAACTGGCCGGAGGGTTGTTCATGTCCTCGTCCATAATAATGTTCCAGCATTCCGAGTTGATAATCATTCTATATTCATACATTGCCCATGCATGGACCTGTGAGGTGGTGTGTCGGTATCGTCCTTGATGGTGATAAACTTTGATGCCATCATACTCTTTTATGAAGGTTTCACTATACCAACAGCTGTCAGCATCACCGCCTTGATCCCTGTGGGGGTCACTTGATGCAGCCTGTCGCTGCACTGGCATGACTGCCGATTGAGCTTTCAAAGTCCAGGTGTCTCCACTCCATTGGTCCATGGCTCTGAGTGCTCTACAAGGAATACAACGTGGGGTCCTGCGAGTGCCAGGGTGAGGTAAGTCGCTCCAAGGACCGAGGAGGAGAAAGGGCTTAACCAAACACAGAGGCAAACCAAAAAGACACCTCGAGGACAGCAATGGGGGACCAAGCGGAGAAAGGGGAAAGAGGGGACAGGCAAAGCAATCCAAGTTCAGGTAACCAGAGGAGGAGGGAGGGAGGGAAGGAGGAGAGTGGAGAAGGGTACGCCCCCGGCCAATCTGCGGTCAGAGACGTGAGCGCCCTTGTGGTCGAGAACCGTGCCAATTCGTGCCAAAACATAGCGGAATGCAATACGTCAGTTAACTCACAAATGAGTTGCTAGTGACAGGAATCAAACATTGCTTTTATCTGATGGTGTGGGTGATCGCCAGCACTGCTCTTCACAGCATGACAGCAATAATTGAGTTGCAATCTTTTTAGCTTCAGCAGCCTCAGTCAATTTGTGCATCTGCATAGACTTTCGCAGCAGAGACTATATGATTAGTCGAAACTCTTGAAGCTCTGTGTAGCTCCTCCTAATGAAGGCTGAGACCAGCAAAATGGTCGACATGTCTGTGAAGCCGATTCCTTCCTCGTACAATTGATCTAACACTTTATTATCTACATAGTGGAGCGGCTCTTCTGCAAGTGAAAATTCACAGGGTGTGCTGTGGGTCAGGCCATTTGACATCAAAAGATAGTCCTGAAGGTGGCTGCTCTCCACTTGATCTATTGCAGGGGTGGCAGTGTAGACTGTCCAGATTTCAGCATCTGGCAGACGTAGCGTCATGACGACAAGCAGCATTTCTCGGCCAATTATGGCAGGGGCCGGCCTTTCTTCTACCGGGACAGAGGCCACCGTTCCGTCTATCACATCTAAATGTTTCATGCCTCCTCGGTAAATTGCACAAAGCAGAAGTGAAGTCTTGTAAAGAAGGAAAGCCTGGGCTTCAGTGTTTCCAGAGCGGAGTATATCAAAGGTGCCGCGATTTCACTTACTCCTTATCGTGCACGTTTGAGCAATTACCGCAGAGAGCAAACAGCAGGTGACAATTCAGCTTGGCCCCCGCCGGTAGTAACCCGATAACAGGGAACTGGAATGCCAGACAGTCCATACCACACCAGCATGATTGTAGATACTTAGGCAATAACTCGGAGTACTTCAATCTCCTATTAGGGAGTAAGTTAACACTTTGATGCTAGCCTGGTACTTGCATGCACTAATAATTTTCGTCATTGGGGTTGGTATAGTCCCTTGGGCCGCCTATCAGACATGCCAGAGTCAAAATTAGTTGTTTCAGTCTATTAGCGAGTTATAATTACTTGCTGGAAAAATCAACAGTCACCCTTTTACAGCAGACAAGCCTCAGGCCACTGTAGTTCTTTCGCCGGGTCTCTGGCTGCCGCATTGGGCGGATCTTGTACTAGGAATTGCAAACGTACTAGGGGAAGAATGCCTTGGAAAACCTCATGGAGGGGCGTACTCAATAGCATCGGTCGAACTATCAGGTTCGTATCCTGCAACATTTCTGTCCACGCTCTTAGGCGTTGCGGTCGCACCGTACACAAGAGCGTGTATGCGAGGTCCACCAGGTTATCAAGTGTATATGACATGGCACTGACATCCAGGTATCCCCCAAGTACGGCAGTAGTTTGAACCGTATTCAGTGAAAGCCGAAATGAGATGACCTCTAATGGTACAGGCAGTGTCCCTGACTGGTCAGTGAGTAGTCCTCTGATAGGCACTATGTAAACCCTGTTGACCCAAACACCTCGGACCGCAGGGCGATTGAGCGCAGCCAGCTGTACTATGTCGTCTTGAGTTGACGCAATTGCGGTCAGCAGTTGAGTCATGATCTGGCGACTTGTACGCTCTACCTGCATAAGGTCTCTATCCAGGGCACTGTATTGCAAATGTAATCCAAGCACTTCATCGGGGAAGAGTGTGGTGAAACCACTCTGCAATAGGCTGACTGTCTTCCGCAAGTCTCTAATTGTGACCATAAGATCCTGAGCAGCTTCCAGCCCATAGTAAATCAGTCTTCTCGGCGGAAGCGCCGCTCGCTCTCGTCCTCTATGCAAGGCGAAGTCCATGGCAGCCCCGGCCGGTCAACAGAATTTACGGTTAGTTGAAACGAAACAGGGGTCCACCTCCAACCATACAAACAGAGGCCGAGAGACAGGGAGGAAGACAACCAAGGCAAACACAACCAAGCAACAAGGAACAACCAGAAAAACAAGCAGGCAACACCAACCAAAACAACTGCAACACAGGGGGGAGGCAGATGCAATCCCGACCAATCTGCGGCCAGAAGAGCAACGTGCCAAGGAAAGAACCAAGCACACGCACACCAAAAAACAAAGAGACGAAAACAAGGAGCCAGCCAAACACGAAAAAGATGGTAAGAAGGCCAGCGAAGGCGGGGAGAAGAGAGGTGGTGAGAAAGTGTAGCACTGTTGGACTCCCGCTTTCCTCACTGAAATGATAGATACCATCTGCAGGGGTTTCCCCTAAAGATAAAAAGGGTTGTGGTTATGTACCAGGCAAGGAGGGGCCCATGACTGCACACAAATAAAAAACAATGCGGTGTCAGAGAGATGAAACTTTAGCCTCAATTGCTATGAGCCAAGAGACATCACATACACATTCATCATGGCACAACAGCAGCTCAGCAACTGTACTGAAGCAATCTGGTCCATTTTGTTTAGAAACATTACAGAGTAAAGTGGAGGCGAGTTCACCAGTTGCTAGCACCAAACTTTTCCTGCCATGCTGTTGACATGTTGAGCACACTGTTTTGGCAGAGGGGTTTTCTCCTCAAAGTACGCTTTCTAGACTGGGCACTCAGCGGAAAAGAGCTGCATATGCGTCTTGAAGGGTTTGCCAGCTCTGCTGTACTCGGTAAATGGCCAGGTTGGCTTCATGGAGTCGATCATTGTGTTGCCTTTGTAGCAGCCGTATGCTCTCTCCCAGTAAAAAGGTTTGGTCAGTTGTACTGGTGGGACCTGGGAATCTTCCTGCAATGGCTTCCTTGCATTCCTGCGACCCACGGAAATCAAAACAGGGTCGGTCATCTTCATGAACGGCATTATTGATCCTAGATGCGTCAGTGAGCGCCATCCCTTCTGGCCGAGGGTTGTAAACCTCTATGCGATTACCCAAAATGTTATAGGCATGCATTATTTCCGCAATGATAGTACACTGCTGAGGACTGCGAGCTACTATGGCAAATCGCCTGGAATTTGCCCAGCACGCATATCCATTATGGCGTAATTCTGCTGCAAAGGGGTAATACGTGTGCCCACAGACTTCAATTCGTACATCTAAGAAATCAGGGTCCGTATCAGAAACGAGGACTTTATGGAAACCATGTGGGAGGCTATGCTTGGCGATAACGTTCGAATCATGTGGGAGCCAAGATTCATCATCAACCCACACTATGTTCCATTTTTCCCTGTGTATCCACTCCCAGGATTCGACTAGATTGAAAGGAACTCGTCCTGGGTCCATATTCATACACATTCTATGCAGAGGGTAGCTTCCTTTGTGCAAGCGCATCAGTGTGTTGGCATGGTCAGCTACAGTCTCAACCGTATAATCTTTCCAGTGATAATTCGCGAGGAAAGTTAGCACTTGCGCCGCCATGGCAGTAAGGAAAGATTCCCAGCGACAGGTGCAATCCCAGCCAATCTGCGGCCAGAAAGGCACCGTGTCGCTGGTTGGCAGAGAAACGAAACACTTACACTGAACGTGGAGTTACCAGTTCACATAGATGGGCAGAGCAGCATTACGTAGTCAACTTTGTCCCCACGGTTCATAAAAAGAAACAAAAGGGGGAAGAAACGACTAACGAAGCTTAGCATCGGCCACTGAATAGAAGTGTACTTGTCGCTTCCTGTTGTGAGCTCAACGTGGCTGCGGTGGTCACACAATCAAAAACTTGCACAGTGATGTCAATGTTGATACCCTTCCGTAGGATGGTCTAACTGAGGGTTTGCTTGTTAGACCAACCACAGAAACCTAGACTCAATGCCTTTTCTTGCACCAGGAATAGGCAATTTCAAATGACAATCCAAATTAAGAGAAGAAGGTGACAATACATGTCCAGCCTTTATGACATGCATAAGTGCTGACCTTCGCTTGGTACCTTTGGGCTCCCATATCGGGCGCACCCTGGGGCGGTACCCTTTCCACCACATAGGACGTACACGGTCTCCCGGTGTTTTCGCTCGCCAAAAAGGCGGCAACCCGCAGAAGCAAGCAACACCAAACCGTTCATGTCTTTGTCCGATGTGGCCTGCGAAGGTTCCCACATGAGGTATTTCGGTGGGTTGGTTTCTTGTCCACCTTATAACCTCCCCCTTTTAAGGGTGTGGTCCCAACGCAGCACAGCTCGATCCTTGGTGTAGGACCTTACTGTGGCCTGACTGTACATTAAGCCGAGGTGCTTCTGCCAGAACCTCGACCGCTGGGTGACCCAGTCGATAGCGATCCCACCCCTCCATGCGACACATACCCGAAAGCATGGGAACACAGGAAGGAGGTCCAGGTTACCCCAGACACCGTGACAATCCTGGCTTACGTCACGGAGGAACCGACGGTCTGATCCGTGCGGAGCATAGCAACCCACACACGAACTTTGAACGTTAGCCAGAACACAAACAATGGATCGGAAGTTGAAGCAGTGGTGACATCCAATCGTGGCGGGCTAGGCCCCGTTACCCATTCATTTCCTCCGAGTCACTAAGGAGGACGTGGGACCACAATCGAACGACAACCACTACCTGGTCAACAACCTACCAAAGAAGTGTACCTGACCCCCCTTTGCATGAACAACAGTGGAACGAACCGCAGTCCGAACTCAGTGAGTCCACACTCAGGGGTTCACCCAACTCGCCTGACCATCCCAAAGCGGTCCCACATAGAAGGGTGGGACCCACCTCCGAGTCACCAAGGAGTGGATGGCGCTGTGGCCCATCGACCACGCAGCACAGGTTGACACGTCCGAGTCACCAAGGACAGCACCAACCTGCCGGCTAGGGAGTGTGACGTAACCATGTCCTTTCATGGTTCCAGGTCGAAGAGGTCAACGGGTACGACTCCTTTACCCTCACTCAACAACCTTGGGACCCTCGCGGGTCCACGCTCCCTCTTGCGGACTAGGTATCGGGGACCCCATCCCCCTACCCATCCGCCGGGAGTCTTTTTAGGCAAGTTCTCCGTAGTGCCGCCTAAGCAACCAGGTCTTTTACCTCATGGGAGCTATTGCAGGTGTCCATATTCTAAGCTTTCCTGCACGGCTTACTGTTCACCTGTTTCATGACATCTCATTGGAGTGTGGGCTAGCAGCAAGGTCAGTCTGGCCTGGATGATGATGCGTACTCTCTTGACACTGCAAAGGTCTGCCGGGCATGAGCTCTTTCTGCGCTTCCTCTACCTCTCGCGCTCGTACTAGCTTGTCTTCTGTGACCTGCCGCTCCAACTGTACGAGCTTCCGTTGCTGTTCTCGCAGGTCATTCTGAATCTGTTCGGAAAGCCACGGACTGCTAGCGAGTAGTTGGATAGCTTGGTTCGTAGCCTCTACAGCCTCCAGGACTCGCTGCTGCAACATGCTGCTGAGGGTGTACTGGCTGATGGCTGTCGCCATTCGCACCAGCTTGGCCTCTTCCATGGCTGAGTTGCGACCGTTCGACATCCCTGCTGTGTTTATTTCATGTAACCCAACAAGGATCGAAAACCAAGAGGCAGGAGATCAAATATCAAAACCAGTATCCTTAACGAGGGGCACGCAACCTTTGTCGGAAGAAATATAGTCAAGCAAGCGAAGCGATGCAATCCCCACCAATCTGCGGCAGGAAAGGCACCGTGTTAGAATTAAACCAGTGATCCGCAAGTTGTAATGATAACGGGGAATGATGTGCCCACGTAATGACAAAGAGTCTGCACATCTCAATTCCATGGGGCCGTTGCCGAAGCATGGGGGGGCATTGCAAGGAAGTAGACATGATGCTGCTGTATTGCACAGTCCGATTGAGCCAATTTCGATGGGCAGATTGATGAAAGTTCCATAGCATTGGGGCAGCCCTTACTAGTAAGCAATTATTACTAATCTTAGGAACATGTAATAGTGCCAAGTGTTCGAATCTCCTATGATTGAAAATTGCATGGGGTATTGCGATGTCAAAACTAGATGGTTCTTCTAGTGAAAAACAGTCGGTAGACATATCCAAGACACAGATCAAGCGAGGAAGGAACCCAGTCTCTTTTAGCATTTCTGCATGCCTGATCACTCAGAGTTGGGAAACACATTGGCTCTCACATCGCGTAGTGCTTCATCAGTACCATCCGAGTTGGGGCTTATAGGCTGTGGATAGACGATTGGGGCCAGGAGTTCTCGCTGCGCAAACT